TAATAATAATAATAATAATAATAATAATAATAATAATAAAGAAAATAATAGTGAGAGTGTGGGATCCATGACGGTGCGGTCTCCCCGCACGGCCCTCCCACCCTCCGACTTCCCCGAGCGCAGTTTTCTCAAATGTATAGAGAAGGAAATTCAAGATGAGGCGCTGCGTTTAGATAAAGAAGAGGGGCCGCCCACACCGCCAGCGGGCTGGGAAATGTATCACGCCCCAGGCACCAGTCTCTTCTACGGTAGACGCTGCTGGCTACCACCAACAACAACAACAACATCCACCACCACATCTAAACAATATAAATATCAACAAGAATATGAAAAAGATGGAAAAGAAGAAAGAAAAGAAGGAAAAGAAAAAGAAAAAGGAAAAGGAGAAGAAAGAATGTTGGAACGGCACACTATCCGTGTACAGCTTACTTCGCGAGATCCTTCACTGGATCCGGAGTGTGATGTGCGTGGAGAACACTTTCCCTTTTCTCTCTTTATTCAACACATCCCATCTTCTCATGGTATGTCTACAACTCTTTCACCCTATAAAGTAGAGAATATGGAAGAAGAGGAACGTGGATTATATGAAGAAAGTATTGAAGTGCGAGCCGATTTTGTAGATGGGGAACTCATTATTGATAATGTGGTCTTTCATGGCTCATTCAAACCTCCAGCATTAACAAAGAAACAGGAAGGAGGAGAAAGTGGAAGTGAGGCTTCTAATCCATCATCATCATCATCATCATCATCATCATCATCATCCAATTCTCAAAAAGAAGAAAATAAACTGAAAGAAGAAGAAGAAGAAAAGGGAGAAAAAGAAAAGGAGGAGGAGGAGGAGGAGGTTGTACATTACAGCAATATATGTGGTGGTTATCCCGGTCCTAACTTGGATGAGGCGGAGGAAGAAGTGCTTGATGGTTTACAGGCATGGTTGGCGGAACGTTGTATAGATGATCAATTCGGGGAGTTTGTGGGGAAGTACTCTGTGTGGGTGGAACAGCAGGAGTATGAGATGTGGCTGCGGCAATTGCGTGATTTTGTAGCCGCTTAATAAATTTATTTATTTATATACATACATATATACATAGATAAAGCGAGTTTACTT